TTTTTTAGCTAGAAGAGAAATTGATTTTTGCACTATAAATTGTTTTCACATGTACTAATGATGCCACCAATTTAAATAGAGAGAGAGATTACGATATCGTCATTGTTGAGGACAAAAGGTGAACAAATAGCTTGAGATTTGGTGAAGTGGAAGTGAGAAGAACTTGTCTTACATCTTTTTTATTTACATCTTTTTCAATAACTAATAATCATTTAGACTATTGATAGGGCTAAATACAATGTGGGCAATTGTACATTTTGTCATTAGGATGCCATTTTCATGGAGTCAACTCATAGGCATTGGTGAAGTCCTTGGTAACTTAATGCATATCATACTTATTAAAATAACTATCATCAAGACTCTTATAATGAACAATCTAAATTCATCCTATACCATCACAACTATTATATAGGAATAAGATTTCATGTCTTATTTCAAATCAAAACATCATACTTTTAAATAGTGAATCAATGCCATTTGGGCCAAAAAAATGGGTAAAATGTCATTGATAGTGTTAAATATGGTGGAGTGATTGTACTTTTGACGGGTTTGTGAACTCTATGGTAGGTTTTATTATATAATATGAGTGTTTATTTGGAGAGGTTGGTCCATGTTACATTAACATAATAGGCTTGAGAGGGGTTTGCATGATTAGAGTGGTTGTGTCGAGTTAAGCATTGAACTAATTTGAAGAGAGTTTTTATTTTCTTAGATCTATGTAAAATAAAGATTCTTCATATTAAAACAATTTTTTTTAAGTTTTTTTTTTTTTTTTTTTTTTTTTTTGTAAAAAAAAGCAGGTTTTTTATGGTGCCAACTGGTCTAAATAACATAAATAAAGATAATGTGAGAAGATTTTTGGAATAGGATACGTCAGTTGAATGTGAAAAGATGTGCATGAGAAGTCGCTTCAACATGCATCTTATGTTGGTAGGTGTAGATTTTGGTGGTGGACAGATAAAGATAGGATATATACGTAGAGTGAGGTGGGTAGCTCAAAACTACATACAAAATAGAATATATTTTTTTAGTTTTATGAAGAGTATGGACACATACAAGGATCTCATAAAACCAAAACTATGGATAAATATCTAATTCAAGTACATGAGCAAAAGAGTGCCATGGATGAGAAATGAAATTTGTTTCAACGATATAATGATGATATTATTTAAAGAAGCCATTGTATCTAGAATTCTATGCTAGGTGATAAAATGGTAAATTTTTAGTAATGTAGCCTTATGAATATAACAAAAGTTTGATGGCTTCCTATACTATCAAAGAGTATTGAAGTATTGAGAAATGAATTTTTAATAGGGTGACATAAATAAAGTTATCATGTACATGTGATTTTGTTTATTTAATGTAATGCAAAACTTTGCAAAGATATCAACATAAATAATAAATTGTTTAAAGTCATTAACTAAATGAATATCTAAGGTACACACATAAGAAAAATATGACTCTCAAAGGAAGAGAGGAGACAATTAAAAAATCAGGAAATAATAACATATGATTTTATTATATTAGTAGAAATTATTAAAAAAATGTGATAATAAATAAATGAACATAGGTAAGAAAAATAAAAATATGATGCATAAGAATACTAAAGACACTGTCGAACCTAATATAGCTCTTAGAGGAGGCGTCTTCGAAACTTAAAAATGAAAATATAATAGTGATAACTAGGTATAGAGAATTAATCATTTGCATGTGTAAGAAGAGAGAACCAATTAGACGATATAGCTTTGAACATCAGTGTGGTTGAGGTGATGGTTGATCACAATGAGGTGCATGAATTGGGAACTTGACATTAGAAAATTCAAAGTAGGACATCATAACTCGAAAAGTCTAAATAAATTGTCATGATTGTTTTTTTCTTAATATAAAATAATGATAATCGCTAAAAAATTGATTGATTTTAATTTTGACTCGGATTAAGAGCGGATCAAAATAAACAACCCAAGCTTTGAGCCAAAAATTTTGGATCGAATTTCTTTAGATTCGACCACAGTTAAGCTCCAAAATAAGAATGTTAACAGCCTACTGAGTCTGTTAGGGCTGTTGGAGATCAATAATCGGTAAAAAATTATCCATATTTTATCTCTAATCTTATCTCACTATAACTACACCAACTCTTTCACGAGTATATTTCTTTCATATTTTCTTTATAAGTGTAAAACCATTGATCTATCTAAGTAATCTTACCTCAAAAACGTCTCTTGATAGATTACTTTCACATCTCTAAATAAATTTTGAGAAGAAAGTGTTTCATCTGATGTAAGCATTTTCATTTTATCCTCCAATGGGAAATCTAATTTTCATTGCCAAAATAAAAATTCACTTTGAATATTATGTTATGACAATACACAATATAATATTCAAAGTGAATTTTCATTTTGGCAATGAAAATTAGATTTTTCATTGGAAGATAAATTGAAAACTCTTATATCATAAGAAACATTTCCTTCTCATAATTTGTTTAGAGGTGTGTAAGTAATCTAGTTAAAAATTGCGGAGATGAGGATGCTTAGGCATATGATTGGTTTTCACTTGGAGACAATATGAACAAATATATCTATCTATAAGAGGGCCGGTGTAGCTATTGTGGCATACACTATTATATGAACAAATATATCTATCTATGAGAGGGCCGGTGTAGCTATTGTGGCATACACTATTAGAGGAAGACGTATTAATGGATTGCGTGTTAATATTCAACTGATTAATGATCTTTGATAGAACAAATATGACGAAGAAGTTAAACGATCTGACTTTGAGCAGAGATGATGTAGGTTCCAAAAAAAATTGATCCAAAATTTTGATTCGTAGCTTAGCATGTTTATTTCAATCCGAGTTTCATGTATTAGTCAAACTTAGATTCAATTTATGAGTGATAATTATTTTTTGAGTTAATTACACAACCCAACATTATGTACTAGCAAAAAATATCTACTTACTTACATACAAAATAATTTTCAGGATTTAACCATCTCAAGATTTGATGATTACAGATTTGTAGGATTTATTAAATCCTACTTGTAACTAAACACCCCTTAATCTAACACTTAGAGCCTATTTAGAAGCTGATTTTAAACATGATTTATGCAATATTTAAGCTAAATCTTCCTAAATAGAGAAAAAGGTAAGAGTTTTGCAGGTAGAAGTTTAGGAGAACTGTTCTAAATCTTCCTAAATAGAGAAAAAGGTAAGAGTTTTGCAGGTAGAAGTTTAGGAGAACTGTTGTGGGTGTTGCGTGTAAAATGTAGGAGTTTTGCGGAGCAGTGAAGTGAATGGTGCTTATTGCATAATTTTTGCCATACCTAAATGATCCGATTTTGATCCAGCTGAACGCCGATTTGAAAGAAATTTGATCCAAATTAAATTTTGAATGATTGTTGTCGCTCAAGCTAAATTCACATATCTACTCTACGTAACACATTTATAACATAAATTTTAAATAACCGAGGTTCCAAACATGTATAACGTATATTTTAAAAGCGCTAAGCCTTAAATTCATAGACCTACCCTATGTGCAAAATTAGATCGAAGATCGATCCTATTAAATCTAGATCCGAGCTGACGTGCATCAATTATTGGCTTAAGCAATAACTATATATAGGAAATAAATTTACTCCCAATTCTTATGTAATTACATGTCGACACCTAAACTTCATTTTTTGCAAACATATAACCTTACATTTACATGAAAAGTTGTATTAAATTGTAAATTTTTAAGTGTTAGATATATAAGTACATATAAATTTAGTGGTATGTATGTTAAGCTTTTTAAACAAATATTTTTGGATTTTACATTTAAGCATACACAACAACCATCACATTTAAATACTAGAGAAAATAAAAAACTTTAAAAACTTCAAAGAGGAAGAAAGGAAAAAAAAGGAAGTCCTTGAAGATCTACGGCTACAAAGCAAATCAGGTACCATAAGCACAAGAAACAAAGACACAAACCAAGCTAACAAAAACCTCAAAAAGAAAGGCAAAACCACCAAACAAACCACCGAAGCAAAGAGAAGAAGGATAATCAATTAGAGCATAGAAGAACTTACGTGCCAGAAAACATTAAAATTCCATCGTAGAATTTGAACATATAAAAATAGATTCAAAATGGTTGAATTTTAATGAAGGATCGAATTCATCACGGCTCAAAAAATCAATCTCAGCAATTAGTGAAGATAAGGAAGAAAATAAATTAATCATTAGAAACAACAGCTAGCTACACAAACCCAATCACAAATATATTCATTTTGCATTTTGCCTATATGTGTCAAATCCACTTATCCATCTAAACATTCTCATCTCAGCAACACTTAACTTTGTTTGTTTTTTTTTAAGAGTATTATTCGGCTCCTTAATTTTATTCCACAAAAAAAATTACAAAAAAGGAAAATAGTTAAACTACACACCCCATACAATCACTCAAAAAGAGAAAAACCAAGGTTCCTTTTTCCAAAAAAGAAAAAAACACAACTCACCCCAAAGGAAAAGAAACAACACACAGAAAAATAGAAACAAGAAAACCAACATACAAAAAATAAACAACAACGAAGCCTAAAGT